ATATCTAAAATTCGTCATCAGAACGTTGTGAATCTGACCTCGCATCTGCTGAAAAACTCGACAGTCAAATATCTCGTAGATCTAACACAATCAGGAAACTGCTCAAGGTAACGTTAGAGTCCTCGTTATAAAATCGCTGTCCCGTAAAAAATATTCTATGACAGCCTTTCGTTAGTAGTGTGCTCTAGTTAGTTACGTTTAACATTATTCGTAGAAATATTGTGTGTTCCAAGCTTTCTCAGATCTCATTATTACATTATGATTTTCAATAGTACGTTAAGATTTGGAATTATAATATGGTACGTTAGAATTCAGAATTATAATATATATTATACTTCATCAGTGTGATCCAGTAAAAATTAAGTTGAACTTAAGAATTGGAATTGAAGGTGATTATTTTTATGGTTCTAACCAATATTTTGCATCAAACCTTCGAACCTATGGTTAACAACCTTGTTGCCAGAAAGGGGTTTGTGTACTGGTTAACACGTGTAACGTATTACCTTCTAGTGGGATAAGATGTTTCCTACTATCTTACAATTTTCTTGTTGTACATTTTTTTATAACAATTCATCTATCATATTTTATACGAATTTCAACGTAAATTTTGATTATCACACATGATTCGATTTTCATCAGCTTGCTACTGATATCGTTCTATGGTTTCACATAATCTCATTTACCTTGTTTAGGTTTCTCTGCATATTTAGACATAAAATGACCAAGGGAATATAAAACGGGGACAATTTTAGGTGTTATTTTAACATGGAAGAACAATCCGGGTAAAGGTAAAGTAGCAAAGTAAGATTTTTGTTATATGGAATGCTTTAGGTGAAAACTCCATCAAAGTATAACGGTGAATAAGAGACATCTGTTCTGAAGAACAGTAAATAAAGCTGTCCTTGTTTTCTTTACGATTCGCATTCAAGGAACTAGTCAATCCTAAGAAGGTTATCTACTTGGATTTTCCGACATTTTTTTTTACTCTTAGTTATTTCTTATATTACACTAGTACTCATATATCTTGTCTCTTTAATCAAAAGCATATTCGAATATCAAAGTTAAATAATGTGTCGCAAGTAACACAAATATGAAGGTACATAAAAGTTCGTCAAATTAGTAGGATATGTATGTGTTAACATGGAATAATATTTCAACGAATTTTTTTACGTATAAACGTGTGTTTTGTAGATTCAAGCACATATACACCGATTATTTTATATTAGCCACTTATATGGTGCTTTTGATAAGATATAATTGTCCTAATCTTTTGATCTTTATAAACGAGATATGTAAACCATAATTGTGAGATGAGGCCTAAAAAACAACATATCAGTTATAACTCATAGTTGTAAAAAGTATATTTATACCACATATGTTAATTTTAGAAACATAATAATTGACACTTTCGCCTGTAATTCCTTAATAGTGTTTTTTGCGTCTTTTTTTTTAGTTTATCGCTTTAAACTAATGGTCATATTAAATGCGCCAAAAATGTAAAATAACAAAAGGGTGTTCTAAATGAATTGGTGGTCTTCACATCTTTACCTATCTTAATACATGAAAAAAAAAATCCAAAAACAGACTATAATATGTCAGGTAATTCATTCATTCTACACCAGGGATCCGGGAAAAAAACGACAACTTAGGCATGTGCAAAATATAATTATCAAACTGTTGACCAAGATAATCCAAGAAGCTCTTTAGCCTCAACTTCGATATTTTATATTTGAGGAAAGTGGCCTTCACAACTTGTTTTCATTATGATGGCCTTTCCACTCAATCTTATTGAGTCAAGATTACTGACAACTTAATAAGTTAAACTTTTAACTTATCAGCAACTGTCCTTACTCGCCCCACAAAAATTCCCCTAGACATACAAGAAAAATTAAACATCTGACAATTTTTTGAGGGATTTTATGTTTAATTGAGATCTACATATAATTTTACAAAACAGTTTCCAGCAATCTCTATTTGGTATAGAATTTTATTTAACTTTAGTTCATATTTAACTCGCTGTTAGATACTTTGAGAAAGTGAAGTAATTAAACTTACACAAATACACTTTGATAACTCGAATTTTATTATTGATTTCGTTTGTAATTTTCAATGTAGTTCTAGAGCAGCAATATATAATTTTAGAGTTAATGTTGCCCACACTTTGAATAACCATTTTACTGCCCATTAATCTTCATTTATTTGACATCCGATACTTAGAACATGTATCTACACATAAAGAAGATACTAAAATACAATACAACCTGTACAAGTTTTATATAAGATGCCTTTCTTAAATATATGGCTGGATAAAATAAAGCATAGCAACTTTGTTTTTGTTTTTAAATTTCCAAATTAGATTAACCTGCGTTTTAAAGACACGACATTGGTGTGTTGTTAAACATAAAACTAAACACAACGGGCTATTAGTGCTCTGCCCATCACTGGTAATGAAACCCGATTTATAACCAACGAGGGTTTAATGATACAAAATCACTGATATATTTCTGACACATTTCTCCTATGTGGTCTCTAAGATATAGAAGTACTTTCAACAGAAAGGTATATCTATTTTCAAACAAAAATCATAAAAATCTCTTTATTTTCGAAAAATATAATATAAAAATACCGAAATGTTAATGAGGATATTTATGTCTTCGATTTTCAGAAGTAAATATTTTTGCCAGAGGCGTCGCTAGGCACTGGCACACGAGACACGTGCCCCGAATCCGCAGTTGGTGTCTTGAAAAATCAGAATAGAAAAAACAAACACGATCGATATCATATTGAAATGCCGAAAATTTCCGCATCTAATTTCCCAAATATTTTAAGCACCTAGTGACGCCTCTGGTTTTTATTAATAAATTCAAATATTACACTTTGCAAAATAAACATTCAGCGTTTTATCATCTATACACTGACTTACACTTATACTTTAAAGTTTCTGTACAAAGATTTATTTAAACCAAGATTCTAAAACTGTTGTTTATTAAGGCTAATTTTGGGTATGTAGTTGACAAAGAAGTAAATCTGTATATTTTATGCACAGAAAATAACGAAACAGGTGATTCTTCGTGACAGTTAATCTCTAATACATCAGTCGAAAGGATAAGGACATTAAAAACGTTTGGAATGTGTTTGGCCTATAGTGTTGTGTGTTATTGGTCTCTCTATTGACACGTTTTCAAAAGTATGGTTCCTCGATGGGACAGCGGTAAGACTACGGACTCACAACGCTAACATCCGGGGTTCGATTCCTTGCGGTTGACACAGCAGATAGTCCAATGTGGCTTTGCTCTAAATATAACAAACAATCAAAAGTATGACCAATGATCACCAAACACGAAAATTTAAATGTGTATCTTTCAGAAAGAAGTTGATTTTTCTTTATAACATGATCAGTGTTTGAACCCTGGTCTCGTAGTGTAACTCGTCTAGCATTTTAACAGAAAATACTTTTACCGTCAAGGAAGGAAGAAAAGGTGTTGATAGCACCTGACCCTCCCAAGTCGCAACAAACATGAGCAAACGCCGATAAATCAACTAAGGCTGATTCTTTACTTAAATGGCCTATTGGTTAGCGTAACAGAACTATGATTCAGTGGGTTCGTGGTTGACGTCCCGTTGTCGCAAAAAAATCCCCATATTTTGAGGGGGGGCAATGGTGCGCTATAAGAAATGCAGTCAAATCTCACTATTAGGTCAGACAATAGTTGGTTGTGGATATTAGGCTATGTGTAGATACCTCTCGTGTAGCGTTGCGCGAAAATTCTGAGTAAACTACTTAAAGACCATCTTCGTATATCAAAATGTCCAGGGAAAACTAATCAGATCAAATCTAAAAGTAAAGGATCGAATATTCACTAAAATATGCCACACTAATGTCAAATAAGAACGCAGCCTAACAGACACAATTAATCAACCTATTATTCCGTAAAAGCACTCTTGAAACATATCGTTCACTTCATTTCTTTACTAACATACTAAGTCTCTCGAAAGAAAACAAAACGCTTAGGTTAGTTGTAGTAAAGAGAACATTAATAGTAAATTTAAATAACTGAACACCAAACAATTTATAGAAATTAGTTTTATAGCTAAGCTGACTATTGTATTTTTTTTACGATTCATTGAGGTTATTTAAATTTAGCATAAGGATATCTCAAGAACCGATAATTAAAGTAAAATAACGCTAAAAAAACTAATTTGGAGAATTAGGAATAAGAAAGTCTTAAAAACGGCCCAGTAGCTCCATAGTTTTTGAAATCGATAAGAGTATGTATTTATTTTCCTACCTTATGTCAGAAATAAATAGCAATACAAATTTCATAAGTAAATCACCTAGTACTGACTGATGACTATGTTTCAAAAACCTTTATTATTGAACTCATTCTCTTGGCACTTTTTTACTTTATACAAAAGTTTCTTCGTATTAAACGAATAAAAACACAGGTTTAATGACACTGTTAGACTTAAATTGACCATAATTATAATTATAAAAACGTTGTAAATAATATAAGTAAGTGGCTGCAGTCTAATAACCAAATTATAGTTATTTGAGATTTTCCCAAAAATAAGCTGGAAATAAAAAAAATTATTTAAATTACACCGTTTTATACATTTTTATGGAATACGTATTTAAAGTCCTCATGGTCACCTTCTTATAACTGTTGTTCAAACATTCACGCCCTTCAGCCGTGAGGGCGTTATAATGTTACGGTCAATCCCATTATTCGTTGGTAAAAGAGTAGCCCAAGAGTTGGCAGTGGGTGGTGATGACTAGCTGATTTCCCTCTAGTCTTTCACTGCTAAATTAGGGACGGCTAGCGCAGATAGCCCTTGTGTAGCTTTGCGCGAAATTCATAATAAACAAACAAACTACAACTGTTGTTGTTGTCTTTACGAGTTCGTAATATTACATATCCTTGCTTAGTTCTTGATATTAGAAAATCTCTTTGCGAGATATTAATCGCCTGGTAAATTAAAGAGCAATCAACCTTTGATAGTTTTCATAATCGTTTATTAATATTTCATATTCATTGATATACAAACTTAAGAAAAACAACATGAACGATAAGGTTGATCGTGGAGCTCAAATGAAAACTCGTCCGGATCATGTCTTCAGAACACGAGCACTGATTCCTACATATACAAATATATATATATATATATATAGCTCATTTAAGTGATTTTTAACATTTGTATATCAATACTAAGAATTTTATCTTTTACGAATTCAGGAGTTATATGTAAAAATAAAAATTAATTCGCACTTGTCACAAACTTTTACCTCCAATCGTGGAAGGATTTGGATTCTTCTGCATTAAAAGTAATTGAAAATATTACCCAAATATTTCTCACAGAAGTAGAGGTAGTACAAATACAGTATTTATAAAGAAAACTATGACATTACCTTTATATTAATCTAAGGGAAAATAACGATAACAAAAATTCAAATCAACGTTGTAAGATTAAATTTAAAGCCGACTGACAAACACTTACAGGTCAACTTAGAAGTGATGCGGGTAGCCATAGCTTCCGTAATAACGAAGTCCAGAATAGTAGGGAGTGTGTCTATAGTTGTAAAAGTGTCCATAAGGATAACCACCATAGTGTGCTCCGTAATAGTGACCACCATGATAAGGATAGTAGTAACCAGCCATGACGGTGGCAACAAGAGCCAAAAACAGGATGGCGAACTATACGAAAGAAAAGTTATAAGAATTTAGTATTTTAGGAACGTTCTACACTATTTCGTTGTTTCGAGAAACTGAATCCAGCGTTAAAAGGCTCATTTTCCCGTGTATGATGCTACTAAAAAGAAATGTTAAATCAAAATATGACACTTATAAAGGGCACATGGAGACTCTCGACACTTAAAGTTAACCATAGCACACCAAATAAATGTGCAACGTCTTTTGGAATCAACCAAACTTGTGTAATTTTATTCAAAGCGAAGAAAACAACATAAAATCTATATACAAATACTGAACAGACAAGATTCTGGGTAGAATGTTTCATTAGACGAAATGAAGCAAAGACTACTAAACGCAGTATACTTACCACAGCCTTCATGGTGATGATGATAATTTGCTTGTTGGTTGTTTGTACAACAATCTAAAAGAAGCTGAAGATGAAAACGCAAGGACTTCTCACCCTTTTATACTCTTTAAACAAACCAAAAAAAAAACCAGGAGACAAAAGAAATTTGAAAGTCATTTGTATTTTATTAATTTCTGTAAAGGACAAAATCATTATCTTGTTTCGGAAGGTCTAATTTAGGGAGTGGTTTAAACATCAGAGCCCTCTATTTATTTAAACCAATCAGGAGTTTTTCTTTAAAAACCGTTAGTGTATTCCAGCGCACACTCGTTTAGAAATAAATAAACAAAGAATTCAGCTAACATAGACAATTGAATAAACAACAGGATTTATAAATGTATGCAATAATAGATGTTATCATCAAATCCGATTTCAAAGTCATGTCTCCTATCGAAACATATCTTTTTAATGTTAATGAATTTTTTCTTCTTCAAACATTTATCTTTCTTATATAGTCACCATGTAGCAAGGTCAGTTTCAAGGTCATAGATGCTCCAGAAATCAGAACTATCTCTATTTTCAGATCCAGCCAGTACAAAATACTTTCAGAAATCAAATATTTCAGAATGGTTGTTTTATATTACTCATATACATGAAATAAGTCTAATAGGAATTACTTTTAATTAGGTTTAGCATAAGCTTCAAATTCTCAGTAGTAAGATTAATGAAGACTTGTGCGTATTAATAGGCGGGCACATAGTTTTTATGATAAGAGATTCTTTACTACGCAAGTCTCTTTCGTTAGAACCTTCGAGAAAAACTGACAAAATGTTCTTTTCTAATAGAAATACAACTATAATTTTGCGCGAATACTGGGACTCGAATCATTAACCGAAATATGTTCACTACTTTTTAACTTACACTTCAGCCACTGAAGCCTATTTAATCTTTAGAACCTAAAGTAGAAATATCTTTTGAAATAACTAGTGTGGAAATTGTTGTTTGGGAATTTTATCTTTATAGGAATCAAGATGGCAACGTCTAAAAGGAGTTCTGAAAAGCAATCTGTGCAGATTTTCTCAAAAGTTCCACAAGTTGGTTTGTTAAAACAAAAAATCTTTCACCAAAACAAGGCAGAACTAAGGTTGAGTTGTGATGTTTTCGATAAAAAGAACTGTAAGATTTTGTTTATTTAAGAGTTTCATAATATTTTTTTACGTTATTACTGAAGTCTAGAGGATAAATATCCCAAAATTCCGCAGAGTATCTCGCGATAAGCTTTTCTAAGAGATTTAAGGTGGCAATAGGTAACAATTAAACTTCAGAGAAATAGAGAAAAATGCCAAAGAGAAATCTTCATATTATCAGGCTAACGTGCTGACATCACTATGTCTCCAGAAAATACCATTTTGTACGAATTAGATACCAATAAATTATTGTTTCATCAAGACAAAGCATCCAGTCACACATCCAAGTTAACACACCAGTTCTTTTGCAAGATGGAAATGCAAACGGAAGTTCATGCTATATCATTCAGAGACATTTCCTATGGACCTTCTGTGCCACTGAGTTGCTCCAACCAGCCTTCGGAAGTCGTCGTCCGTACACGGTTGGTGGAGTTTAGGAGGCATGTAAAGAGGAGGGATGACACTGAACTCACTCTGTTTTTCAGACGCCTCCTCCGGTGGAAACTGGACTGTAGAGCAAAATTCCATCACATAGAGCACCATTGATGATAAAAGAAGGTGCTATAAGGCCAAGACACTTAACTGAGTATTTTTACCATGGCTGTAAGTTTATTTATGAATAAAGTTTAGACTTTTTGTATATTTCTTAAATTGCATTTTTCTTTTACTTAACGCTCTGACAAACATCTTAGAATTGTAGAAGTGTAAAACTAGCTGGAAGCGTAAATTTAATAAGCTGAAAAGAGTAATTGGAAGTGTAAACTGTGGCTTGTACAGCGAATATTATCAAGTCCATCACTGAAAGGTGAACCATATATGAGGTTTCCAATTCTTTAACAAAATTTTAATATAGATTTTGGCCAATTTTTATTGCCCTGTTTTCCAACAAATATTCATCCTCTTCTTAACGTCTACAAGAATCTTCTAATTTTATCTTAAGTTCTATAAAAAAAAGGCATTTCTTCTTGCTTAACAGCGGAAGAAAAGAGGAAATAACACGTAAATATATTGCTAAGTTAACTGTAGTTGATATGACCTATAAAAGACCTTAATGGAAAGGCTAGACAGATCTTTCTGCCAAAAGCGTTGGACAGTGATATAGAAGATCAGAGTTAAGAGTGTCAAGAATACTGTTGAAACTAGTTCTGATTAAATCAACTCTTATTGATCCACTTCACTGAAGTACGGTAACATTACTGCATTAATTATCCAAATTCATAAATGATTAGTTTTTGAAATAGTTTTTTACAAGTTTACACACTAATTCTTCATACTGTTGACAGTTATTTCGCAAATTATATGTTTAGTTATAAATACTACTTTTAAAATCGAATTGAAAACCATTTAGTCATTTACAAAATGGCCACGAAATGTTTAAGCTTTTTAATTTTAACGCCAATTTTTAGTTATTGGTATATTAAAATCCTCTTGAAAATAAAAAAACTACAAGGAAATATTCGGTAAGAAAAGAATTATTATAAGAGTTATATAAAATAATCAGTTTAATGATATGATTAGGCTTTCTTGAATTAGCAGAACGTATTTGTGAAGAGTATTTTTTAATTTCGGTATAAATGAGTAAAACATCCAATGGGCCGTTAGCTACTAAATTCAGTCACTCTTGTAGTTAAATAATGTATACGTACTGGGGATTATTGAATACACAGATAATACCACTGGCAATATTAAACGGTAAAAAATAAGCGAGTAAACTAATATTTCTGATGGTTAAGTTTCATGTAAAAAGTAGCGTGCTAGACACCAAGGGTTATAACAAGAAGTGGCGATACACACCTAGATCCAAAATCAAATCGTAATACCAGCACAAATTAAATAGTCCTTGACGTCATTCTATACAGAGTTTACACTAAGCCAAAACACCCAGTCAAAACAACAATACGAAGGTTAGAGTTGGCGTTAAGCTATTTAGTCAAAGCTGTAAGTTAACTATTTCGTCTTGGTATCAACACAACTAATTTATACTTTGCATCTAGAATCAACAGCAAGTTAAAACATTATACAGGAAGTTACATGTATCGTGGCGTCCATCTGGGACTCACACCTAGTCAAAAATCAACTCAAGCAGTTAAGAATATGTGGTGTCCACTTAATGCTAATGCCCATTTGAAACACCAACTCATGAAATTAGATATGTCGTGGTGTTTATATAGAGCTAACACACAATCGAAACACCAATACATGACATTAGCTATATCGTGGTATTTTTGTAGAGCTAACACACAATCGAAACACCAACACATGACTTAGCTATATCGTAATCTAACTTATAGTTTTCAACATACGAGCTTAAGACAGCCACCAGCACAAACACAGAAAAATAATTATCTCGTGTTGTAAATTTAGTGCTAACACTCAATTAATAGGTTAAATATACGGTGCTGTCCATCTAGAGCAAAAACAACTTTTCGAAACACCGACAAAATTTACCAAAAGCCCAATAGAAACATAGCACAGGAAGTCAATTATTTCGTGATGTTCATCTAGAACATCCATTCAAAATATCCAAACAGGAGGAACTTAACGTTTCATTTGTGTGTAGTCAGAGTCAACGTCTAGTTAAAACACAAAAAATGGGAAGCCCATGTGGTAAGTCAATGAAGGCTATCTAGATAACATAAAAATTAATTCTCAATAACCGGTCTCAGTAGCTTATAAATGCTACTGTCACTGAATATGTAGTTATTATGTTAAGGTTCTTGTCAAACAACTATTATCAAAGAAAATTTATCCTCACTTCTTCCTTAACTTAGATATCATCTTTATTTTTTAAGATTCATCCTGTTTCTCAGAGTTTAATTGGAGCGGTGCCACCTATTTGACAAAGTTGGAGACACAGAGGCTGTGTTAGCCCACTGAGGGTTCTAAGCAGGATTATGTTTGGGCCCCCTCCCCATCTAAAACAAATAATAATTGTATGATTTGTACATATAAAAAATATGCCAACACAACACATACTAATAAACTTGTTTAAAACAATAATTTCTACTTTTGTCCCCCGTTGAGACAGCGGTAGATTTACGGACTAACAACACTAGAAATCAGGAGTTAGATTTCCCGCTGCGAAAAGAGTGAATACAGTCTATTGTATAGTTTTGTACAAAGAAAACAACAACATTTCTACTCAGTAACTCAGCTTCTTTCTCAAATCATGCACAATATACGTATACTGCACTTAACAGCCAACCGGCGCATGCACACCGCACGTGTTCCTGAGAGTAAATTTGATCCTGCACTTTTTAGTACAAAACTAAAACTGGCTACAGTCAAAGTTCCAATGTAAATAATACCAAATATACCTGTAAAACGAGGCCCTTTGAGTTGCTCGAGGCTTTAAGCAATTGCTTAGTCTGCTAATGTCTCTCACCGCCACTGTTAAGCTTCTAAAGTTACATCTGAAACGACAACTTTTAATTTTTTATTGGATTTGTTTTTATCATGCTTCTTAAAAATAAGGATGACATAATCTTGTTGAAACGTCGTACATTTATAATAAAGTTTTCTTCATTACCAAGTTGTCTCCAAACTTTTATTTTCTTAAGACTGAGTTTCCTTATAATTAAAATCACTGTAAAATATCAGCACTTTTCTGATGAATAAGGTAAAACTTTTAGATAAATGGTTTTCTGATAACGACAGTAAAATATTTAGATAAACAGTTTTCTAATAAAATTAGTAAAGTTTGTTTGTTTGTTTGAAATTAAGCACAATGCTACACAATGGGCTATCTGTACTCTGCCCACCTCGGGTATCGAAACTCGGTTTTAGCGTTGTAAGTCCCAGACATACAAAGTCAGTACAACTTTTCTACAAACAGTTTTCTGGTGAAGACAATTAAGACGTTTAGATAAGCAATTTTCTAGCGAAGACAGTAAAATTTTTAGATACAGCTGATGCTTATTGAAAGCTTTTTAGAGATACAAAGAA